TTATAGAGAGATAATCTGCAAAAAATTTTAAAAGGCAGAGCTTACTACATGGTTCTATAAATGCTACAAACATTTCATGATCACACATAAGCCTATTTTTTTGAATCACATATTGAAACTCTAAACAATTTTAAGTGAAATTTTAATGCTATTTTTACTGAAAGTCTTGTTTGATAGTCAGATGTTTCAAATTGGAAGAAGAGAAGGAAATCGAGGAAAGAAGGTAAGAGGTCTGTGTGGATGAATTAAGAGCTCCTAAAAAGTCTGAAACATGAAGAGACAGAAGCATAGGAAGGTGACCCAAGAGGAATATGGAAAAAGTGCCTGAGTATGCAGAGAAAGGATGAGGAAGGCCAAAGTCCAGCTGGAGCTGAAGAAGAGCTTCAAGAGCAAAAGATTGTAAAAAATGCTTGCTCACTGCTGAATGGGGATGGGGACCTAGTGACAAAATACATTAAAGACATCACAGTAATCAATCACAGAATCACAGTATAGCTAGGGTTGAAAGAAACCTCCGGAGATACCTCATCCAATCCCCTTCTTGACTGGAAATGTCTTTACAAAACCAATTCATGCTAGTCTGTGTCTTGCTGGAGAGCCATTTTTTCCTCAGAACATACTTCTTGTAGAAAAAACAGAATATCGTACAGAAAGATGACGTTTATAGTAGTCTGCCTCCCCAAGCCATTCAAAAGCAGAGCCAGAGCCTCATCTCCCTTCCAATTTTTACACTAAGATTGAACCATGAGTGCCAGATTGGATGTGGGATGTTAAGACCAGTATGCCCCAAGAGGTCTTCCTTCCTTCTTTCCATCACCAAGAATTATCAGAAGCAGCTATTCCACCTCAGTTAAATTCTAAAAATAAGACTTTTAGGAAGATGTACCAGTAATTATCATCATCTCGTCTTACCACCCTTTAACCTCGCACTGATCTGTCTTCCTAATACCATGCTCCATTACACACTGTATTTGAACTCAAGCAAGAATGAATCAGAACAATCCAAACTGAATGACTAAATTAAAACTAAAATTTTCAGCCACAAGTAGTTTATGGCACCAAACCAACTTCAGTGAGTTTAAAAGAAAAAAATCAAGATCCATTTAGTATTGTGCTAAATAAAAGAACTTCTGTTTTAAAAACTGCCATGATACATCTGGCCTTTCGTTTTGGTCCTTTCCAATATTTTATTAACCTTAAGTTTAATTACAACATTAAGGCCCCAAGTGGGAGATACAGTTTTCAAAGTCCACTCTTCCCCTTAGCATTAATGTTTTCAATGGCAACTAGAAATTATTTGAATGTATGGAAGTGTAGTTGCAGCATAATTATCATAGTGCATAGGCACATGTCACAAAAGCAAGAAGGCAAAATATGTATTTTCTGTTAAACATGGAGCACAGGACAGAAAGACTGAAGAGGTCAAAAGTGCTTCAACTTATTTAATTCCTTTTGCTATAGAGTTTTAGTCTAGCAGATGTGAGATCCTTGTATCAGATCCACTAGATGGTGCAATCCATCTTCTCCATTAAAATCATTTGAAGTTTATACACAAGAAGTTAATTTTTAATGAGGAAGAAGTCAATTTTAATGCTAATCAAGGAAAGGTTTATTATTGGAAGAATAAGGCACCAAACAGAATATCAGGGTTTGAGAAAGAGCTAGGCTTTGAAAGTCACCTAAGTTAGCAGCCAACATCCGCATTTTCAAGAAAAATATGATTTCACCCACTGTCAGAGTATATAAACAGAATTTTCATCAAAGGAAAAGTAATCACAACAGCCATCTTTAAATTATTTAATATCAACAGGCAAGTAATCAATCCAGTAGGAGGTCAGGAGATTTACTAATTGATAAGAGTGGCTTTTAGAAGCATGTGATAGGTTGACTTAGGAAGAAGAAACTCAGAGAGAAGTTCTTCCTAAGGGAATTTCCTCTGTGGGGGTTGGGACACCTGCAACAGCCAATTAGAGAAAGTTAGTTCGCTCCGTGCACACACATTTTGAAGGAGGTAATCCGGAACTGTGTCTCTTTGTCTTTCCGGCTGCTGAGCAGGTAACATCAACCCGAGCTTCCCCCTCCCCCATGCGGGGGGGAAGGCTCAGGGGGCCGCTTGGGCCCCGTTTGCCAACGAGGAGGCCTCATGGCCGGGGGGAGAAAAAGTTGTGTGATAAGACCTTCACAGCTTCCTCCTCCACGGGCCTGCGGCTCTGGCGTGAGGGGAGGCCGACTCTTGCTGCTGTTGGACAGGCCGGGCCTGCCCGGGTGGCCATGAGCAGTGTGGGGCTGCAGCCCAGCCCCAGAAAGGCTGATTAACACCTCAGCTGCCCTCCCCAGCGCGGCCTGAGCCTGGCCCAACTTTTGTAGTTGTGTTAAACTTTAACTCTCTAGTACTCAGATAAGATTTGCAAAGCCTTCAGCCTTTCCTTTGAATATGAAAGGGAAGAAGAAGATTTCTAAAGTCAGTGACGTAAGAGCTAAGTTTTTAAGCTGGAAGGAGAATGAGAAGATGCTGAAATGGCTAAAAATCTTTTAGTAAAAATTGTAAAGATGAACTGATGTACTGAATATTCCTACAAACCATGAAAAGAGACATGGGGGGATGGAAATGTTCCATTTAATAGATGATTTGACCAAAGAGCACCTGTGTTCAGAATTTCTGCCCTGAGGAAAGAAGGGGATTTCAGTTTTCTGAAGATGAAGCCTGAGCAAAGAAAAAGGAGACAGAAAGAATCTTTGCTGTAGAACATTTCATTCTTAAAAGTAATACCCCATGAGACAAACATGGCCCACATTTACAGCTTTGGGACGGCTGTGGTGTTGGGAGGAGCATCACGGTTGCAGGTTCCCAGGCGACTGCAAATCGTGAAAAATAAAACCACAAGAGGACTGTCTTCTTCCTTCTTGTGGGAAAAATCCCTACAGCTTCAACAAGAAGAAGCTTCTCTCTCCAGAAGTGAACCGAGGAAAACTAAATTGGGGACTGACCGAAGAATTTGTTATATGTTTCTTTTGTTGTTATGCAAGTTGGGAGAAGGAGGGAAGGAGTAATCTGAAAAATCTTATTCTGAATTTTTTTTCCTTTCTCTTTGTTTGTGTAGTTTAAAAATTTTCTTTTATACTCTCCCAAGTTTTAGGCCTACCTTGCTCTTTTGCTCCTGGTTCTGTCTCACAACAGGAAAAAATAAGTTTATTTAAATTTACAACTCAAAACGAAAACATTAATTTGGTGTGTTGACCGGGAAATCAAAATTAAACCAAAACAATGGCAGTATTCAAAACAATCTAGGATTATTCTCAAATACTTCAGAAATAAAATAGTACTCACTAAGACTAGAATCCATTCTGCTATCTCCCTCATTATCCACAACCTTGACCTAAAACTGGTTAGGCTTTTCACTTCTAATTCCCAGTCTTGGTAAGAGATTAAGTCCAGATACAGAGAGAGAAAAAATTACTGCCAGCTAAGGAGGTGAACTACCTCAGGACAGACTACAGCCTTGATCTGGATCATAGCCAATTTATACTTCAACCTCACCCAATTTCCAAGTGTTCAAGGCCTGCCAAATCATTGAAAAAGACTCTACTTTGCTTATTACTTTCTTGGTGACTATTTACTATGAAGAACTGTTTGTGCTACCAAAACAAGTTGTGAATAAGAAAGCAGGGTATGATGTTTTGTAGATACACAGTCTGGAAAAGCAGAAGCTTTCCCAGGAACTTGGAGAAAACAGAAAGGAAAGAATCTTAAACAGTATGCACGTGCTACTGTTTACAGAGTGTGTACTGTGAGAACTGTGTTGTTTACAGTGAAAACATCTGTGCAAGAGGTGTTGCCCACTCTGACCAATGAGCTGTATTCTATTCTTGGTTTAGCGATCTAATGTATATAAGGAATATAGTTTTACAATTAAGTGTCCTTTTCTCTATCTTGAGAAAAGACCGGTCACTGGGTTTCCTTTTGCCGTTCCTACAGCTAATCTTACAGCTAACAGCAACAATGTTTCACTGTCCTGCAGAAAATGGAACAGATGCAATGCTTTGTGCTTGGTTGGCTTTGTGAGACTTAGAAGATCTTACAAAAGTAATTTTTTAGTTTGCTTCTGAAAGTTTTTTGGGGATGCTTACTCCCAGCTGTTCCTACATTTTCTACTCAAAAGAGATGTTCTTTTACAGGGCAATGAAGACTGTTAATTCATAAATCACAGAACCACATGATGACCTGGGTTTTAAGGGACCTTAAAGATCATCTAGTTCCAACTCACCTGCCAGAGGCAGGGACACATTCCATTAAACCACGTTGCTCAAAATCCCATCCAACCTGGCCTTGAATACTTTCAGGGATGGGGAATTGACATAATTGACATGTTCTGCAACAGTTGGAAATGTAGCTTTTTGAAGCTTAACAAAAAAAAGTAAATACAGACTTTACTAACATTGGTGACATATTTTGCAAAAGATAAACCCTAAAATTCAAAGAAAAAATTGATTTTTTTTTCTTCAAAGTAACATAAATTGTACTCTAATACATTAGGAAACTGATATCAAAATCTACTTTAGGAAAATAACTCTACCCAATGTGATAAGGAACTACAAAACAATAGCAACTTTACTAAGACTAGCATAGTATTTCTTGACTAAACATTTTCTTGTGAGTATCTTCCTTTAGAAAAATATACATTTAGAAAGAAAATGCTCATAGAAACATGTCTGCCATGATGAAATATCTAAAATGTCACTGCTTCTTTGATGATATGTGAGTCTAGAACAACACAAACCTTTTGTTTCTTCATTACACATAAGAATTTTAAACATTTTTAGAAATACCTATATGTCACTTAAGAAATGATATAGAATGAAAAGGTGGAATGTTAGTCTAGAAATGTATTGAATTGCATGGAAGTCACTACTGACAATACATCTGACAGTATCTTTACACAGGGCTCTTCCATAGCTTTTCCTTGTTATGGTTTTGTGCCATGCTTGCAGCTGTCACTGACCTTATGTAGCGCGGGAGCCATTACTGGCAACAAAAATCCATTGTAAATGTAATTCACAAGCTGGTTGCATATCAAGGGATGTGCCACCTAAGAGGGTGGAGGAGAGAAAGATATAGAACAGTTCCAGTGAGACTTAAAAGACACAGAATGCTATTATTCACTACCAAAACCCTTTCTCATTTAATAAGACATTCATTTGTCCTTCTCACCAGCATTTGATATGCTTCAGGTTCCTAACAACTATTTCTTCTACAAAGAAATACACACACCAGCTTTGATTACAGTAAAATCTGCCAAACTTAGAGACATGGCTTTTCCATCTTCCTGCACACTGACAAAGATGAACAGATGGACAGAGAAGTGTATACAGCCATGTATCAAAGCAAGATCTAAAATTCTAAATCCAGCTCCTGCAGCATTGTTGGGGTCACTTGAAGGTGGATTTGCCATTGTTAACTTGACTTTCTACAATAAAGAAAAGCAGAACAGCCGCTTTCCTATAGTTGAAGAGCAGGTAAACCAAAGTGCTCTCTAGCTATGGGGTAAGAATATACTGTTCACATGCCCTTCTCTCAGCCACTGTAAAACAAACAGAAATTACAAAAAAACCCCAGCATAATTTATTTAATGGGATGGTTAAGAGCTTTAAAACAAACAAACAAATAAACAAACAACCCCCCCCCAAAATATTATCAGAAGCCAAAAATTTACTTTTATAATTAAACATTCATTTTGTCTTTTCAATGAAAACACATCAACTAATGTATATAAAAGCAAAATAAAATTTCATTCAGAATCTTTCTAAGCCAATATATTATATTTGAAGTTCACAGAGAATGGAGTGTCACAGCCTACAATAGATTCTCCAACCGGCAATTCTTACCAGACTTCCTTTAACTTGTAACTTTTAATTTGGTAAGAGGAAGAAAAAGAGTGGCCCTTCCTATGCTGTGATCCAGGGAAAAAGTAGTAAATGGCAAGAGGTCTTGGCTACCCTGTTTGTTTTTAATCTCTGGCCAAAGTTTTTGGGTGAACACAGACCAGTCCCTGTGCAAAGCAAAAATTCTTACAGTAACTCAGCTTTCAAGTCATCTGAAGACTACAGAGACATAATCAAGCAGGAGTCAGAAACTGCTCTTTCTGCATGTCAGCTGATATCCTTAACCATTTTGCATCTACTTGAACAATGTTCTAAAAACAATTAATTTTAAAATTTTTCTCTAGTGCCCTTCATATAAGTTTTTAACAAATGTATCAGTTATGATCTCCTCCAAACATAGATCTGTAGAATAACTCTGGTTAGACACCAAAATTAATATTGTCTCTTCTTCATGTTCAAACATGCATTCTAAAAATCTTGTATAGTGCATTTGAACAATGACACTACTATTTTTGCTTGTTCACAGCTTTAATAGTCAACCAGTTCCTTTACAGTACTTTGCACACATTGCACTGAAACATATCTTTTATTTAACAATAAATGTGACTAAATTTTCAATCCTATCCAGCACATTTTTTCAAATAACACAAGCCCACAGTTTCTGTAGAATTTATATCCTGTTTTAATGAAATACTGGATTTGAGTTCTATCGAGTATTCAAGCCTTAAAAACAATATATAAAGACAAGAATTTCATTTTACATTTAAAATAGAAAAAAGTAGTAAGGGAGCAAAGCATTGAAAAAGAACCCTAGAAGAACAGAACAGATGCAGAACAGGCCAATCTAAAATGAAGTTATACTTCTAGGAGGAGACCTAATTAATTCTGCTTCGCAAGCTTTATTTATGTTGTATTCACCAACAGACAATAGAGATTATTTTCACTATTTTCTTTTGTACCATTACAAGAGCTTAAACAAATACAAATATAAACCCTACATTTTCCCACATGAATGTAAAGGCATCCAATTTACTTCTAGGATTAACAGTGATATTAAAATGCAATAAACATTTATTTTTTCTTTTAACAGAAAATGTTCCCAATTATATAATGTAATATCAGGCTTTCATTTGAAACATTTGGCACCTGAAAATCACAAATATATTAGTTCATCCTGATAACCAGAACAGACACCACAAGGCATTTTAAGCAGCTTGTTTTAGTCTAACTTTATTAGTCTGTGACATTAATAAAAATAAATAAACTCTAACTTCCAAACTTGTGAAGGAGCTACAACTTACTACTACTTCTAAAGAACAAGCTAACTCCGTTCAGTCACCTGAATCACAGCATTGCAAAATTCAAGGGAATTCATGAATTGTACAAGGGCTGGTGACAAAAACCCGCCATCTTTCATCAGATATTCTTCTCCTTTTTCTTACAGCTTTGTAGGCAAAGATGAATAGAGGCCAATTAGTCCTGTTGCTAACACCTGTATTTCAGAAACAGAAGAGGAAATTAACTTTCCAAGTGTCCATCTGCTTCAATGGCAGTATCACAAATGGTTTCTCCTGTTAGTTTTAGTAACATAACAGAGTGTTCAGATTAATTTAATTTCATTTCAAAAAAGTCCTGTGGCAGAAAAACAAATATTTTAAAGAGCCTTCCATATAATATGCTTCTTTCAAGATTTGGTATTTAGGAGAAAATGATGGAGAAAATGAGGTTATCTTGGGGTTTTTTAATCCTAAATTATAATCTATTTTTTAATTTTTCTAAAATTATTTTGCACTTTTCTTCAGTCCATTTCAGAAACAGCCATCAGTGCCATTATCTACAGCCTGTCTTTTGTTGGTGATTCAAATGTCACTGCTCAAACATGTATGAAGTCATTTCTCTCAGAAACATGAAACATCAGAAATGGAGGGGGAAAGTGCCCCATCAACAAAAATAAAGTTCAGTCCCACTTAGACCACAGACGCATGTTGACTTTGATTGCCAGCCATTTAAACTCAACTGAATCCACTTCAAAAAATGTTAATTTAACTGTTCATAATTTCCCTTTTTCCTTTTTTATTTGAAGGAAGCGTACCATTAAGCCTAACAGGTGATTTATGTATAATATATCACCGAAGAATAAGAGAGCATTTTTAGTTACAATTTAGAAAGCATATTTCCAAAAAGATTTTTAAATTTTGCTGAATGTATCTAGAGTATGATTTTCAGATGCAGCTTTTAATTATTAAAGTTATTTGAAGCCAGAAACTTTCTAAATATTACTTAGGATTCTTATCCTTCTGAGATGATTTCCTACAACTTCACAATAATTTTTTAAGATTATTCTCATTTTAATGGGAACATTATTAATTGGCCCGATGGAAATCTTTTTAATTTTCATTCAACAGACTCTTCTAAGAATATTTCCTCTTACAAAAGGCCACTTGGCATCTACAGGGCTAGACCATTAAAGCTCAGATGAAACACAGCTCTTATCTGCTAGAAAACACTGGAAAACAAACAGTTGACAATATCCAGATCAAAGACCAAGGGTTCACAGAAGGTGATCAGGTTTTGAACACACACAAGCACAAGCAATTGTAACTGTTAATCCATACAAGGCAAAATCCATAAAAGACAAAGGCTGTGTTTCTGAATACTTTTTATTCCTAATTCACATAATTTTGAAGATAGATTTATTCTGGCATAGGTAAGTAAGCCAGATATTAAAGTGGAGGGGAGAATACTGTGGAAATCGACTGCTTTAGTACAGTGACATATACACAGTTTCATATACACAGATAAAGGACAAATCTGGACATATGTTAAAAGATTGAGAAGCTAAAGCTATTGAGCAAAGCTTTATTTGTAAAATTTAAAAAAAATTACGTTTGTCTTGTGAACTTCTAATTAATGCACACTTGATTTTCCATGGTCTGCTTGAGATTTAATTGCTATTCATAAACACAAACACACCCTCTCAGTATGCAATCTGATTCTCAGAGCTGTGTCCCATCCATGTTTCGCCTTCATAGGGATATTTGCCCTTAAGCACAAGATGCTGACCTTGAACAAAACATGCTACTCTCCACTAATAGGAGCAGTGAACTCACAATGAGTCAATGTCTTGAATTCTTTAGTTTGTCAGACTTACTGAAGTAAGAACTGACAGATGCAGCTGCTAAAATCTTTGAAGTTTAGGAAGCTCTTATTTTTGCTATGAAGTATAACACAAATGGATCTATGAAATTACGCTTTTTAAGCACTGAAACATAGTAGCCACAGGAAGTAATTTCATCTTTTTAGGTAAAAAATATTTTAGAATGTTCATGAAGTATATGGTATAAATAGAGTTACCATCTGAAATTACCAACAGAACACAGTTTTAATCAGTAATGAAACATTAATGAAAAAAATAATCTGAAAGGAAAGGAAATTAAAACATTCACCTCCTGAAAAAGGAAGATTGGTTTTATTTTTTTGTTTTACACAAAGCAGTGTCCTTTTAAACTTCTTCTAGCATTTGTCATGTCAGCCCTACATGCTCATCTACTTTTACAAGCATCTCCAGCAGTTTCTTTCTCACCATTGAGGCATGAATCTCTCTACAAATCAGTTTCTTTTATTTATTTACTTTCTCTTGACTCACAGAAGATACTGACTACATGATTTGTAATCCCAGGCATATTATGTGACTGTAATGTGTTGCTAATGCATAAACAATCACTATCTGGACAATTACCCCATTTTAATAATTCTCTCTCCTCCCACATCCACAGTCTTTCCATCTCTTTGCAGTCGTAACTTTTCAAGGGCACTGCAGAGCCATCCCTCCTCCCAACATTGAAGTTGCTTTCCTAAGCTGCAAGGCATTTATAAAGTTTTGTGAGGGACTTTGAGATGTTACCCTGCCCAAAATTCTTTAGAAACTTTTTTTTCTTATCATAATGCTAAACAGATAATATCTTCAGCCATATCCAAAAAACTTTCATGTCAAAACATGATAAAAATGATTTGGTTTAAAATCAGAAAACTTTACCAAATAGTTTACCCACACATTTCACGTTAAAAACATTTGTTAGTGATGTATCCCACTGCAAACTATCTTCTTCCTTCCTTATAGTTTTGTCACCTACACTTTTGAATACTATGGACATGAATACTATGAATACTTTTGGATCTATGGACAATCCAGTTTTTAAAAAGCTGTTAACCAAAGTTATGTCAAAAAACAGTATCAAGAAAACCTTCAGGTTGATGTTGGCACAGACTCCACCCCAGGGGATGCCTTTATTATGCAAAATGGTATGGTAAAGAAAACCCTACATGCTAACCTGTCCCCAGAAACAGAAATAACATCAACATAGTGCCACCCAAAATGTCTCTGCTATCAACACAGGACTTCGTCAACTGTTTTGCCGAGTTACCTGAGGCAACATTTGCACTGATTTCAGTGAGATACAGCAATATCACCAACACCTACAAAATCCTCCATCAGAACAAAATCTGTTTTTCAGCGCCTCACAACTCAAATTCAAAAAAGATATTGTGTTAGTAAGCTAAATACATGGCATTACATTAAAGTCTTTTTATATACTTAGGCCAACCTCATTACTGTTGAGAAAAGTCTGATTTTAGCACATTTTGACAAAAAGCCTTCCTAATTGGAATGATTGTCAGCCATGGCTCCCTGCTGTTGAAAGCTGGCTTTTATCTTCAGTGTAATAAGGCTGGGTTGCTTTTGGGGTTTTTTTGGGGGTTTTTTAACTAATAGGAAAATGTAATTATGGAAGTTGTAGCATGGATCCAATAACGGTATCTGTCTTAGGGACAATTTGAGAATCAATATAATATTCTTTGGCAGTATCTCTCTCCTCTTGAGGAGACCTCGAGGTCAACTGGAGTCTCAAATTGATGCAATATTTACAACTGACAGAAGAAACCACTTAGAAGTTTTGTTGTGGAATTTTTAGGTCTCATCTACCCTGCAAATGTGGCTCTGCCCTACTGCTCAAAACAATCTCAGAATAAATGGAAACCTAAGGCTGGAGCAGCTGTCAAGCAGTGGCAGGGATTCTAGTGCTCTCTCTTACAGCTCTCTGCTTTAGTAGCCATGAAAGACTCTCCTCCACTTCATTTTCCAAGGATTTATTAAATTAAAATGCAAACCATGCAGAATATAAAAGAATCCATCAAAAAACTGCCCCACAAGAGCAAGTTCTGTACAGAATGATACCTGGGTTTGAACACACCTACTGCAGATCTCAGACTGTGATAAGGCATGAAGAAGCAGGTGTTGTTATTCAAGTCTGCTTTAGATTTAAAACTTCAGTAGAACATCTTTGTTAGTTAAATCATTTTACTTACTTTACTTACAGCAAGGGAAGTAAAGGCTTTCTATTCATGTGGTAAGATAAATTTTCCAGGTGTAACAATGCAACAGTGCTGCTCATTACAAGTTTTATAATAGAGAACAACGTAGCAAGATTGTGGTTAGCCTGAGACAGTCATAAAAACATCCAGTTTTGTGACAACGAGCAAATCTCCCTTTTATCTTCCAAAAGTTATAGCATTTTTGTAATACTCTCACTATTCTCACACTTGTTTTTTGAACTGTCGAACTGATGTCAGTAAGGGAAGCACAGCCAGCTTAAGCTTGTGCTGCCACCTGAAACAACCACCTCAGGACACCTCACTACCCTTTCTCACTCTCTTCAGCTCCAGAATCTCAGAGGTGCCTCGTAGTGAGACATATTTCTCTCCCACTACATTCTGCTATAACTTCCATCAGTTTTCTGATCCAATTCACTGTATGACTGCAAAAACAATTGAGCTGGCCCAAAAGCACAAGACACTGGTATGGAAACAAGAAGCAAGACTGTGTTTGGCATTGGGGATGGTTTAAACAGCATTACCACTTTTTAAATAGGTGTTAGCAAAACCAAACAAGTTACAACACTTCTTTAACAAAAATGACAGAAAAGGAGGAAAGACAGTTTAGCACTAAAGACCGTGTAAAATAGAAACAACTTACTGGGCAAAAATAGGTGTTTTCTGCTATGTGGTTTGCAACAGGGTTGTTTTCTGCAGACAGAGACAAGAAAAGCAGTTCATCCTTGTTGGTTTACTCCTCCTGTAGGCCTCTTGGCCTACTGTCCCTTCTCGACGGATGAAGGGAATCAGCAGGGAAAAAATGAGGAAATCGGCATCTCCTTGGTCCTCACTAGTGTGAAAAAACAGTTCTAAAATGGAGGCATCTTTCGCTATTATAGAGCTTGTTCAAGTGGACAACCAACTCTGTTTCCACTGTTGGAGTGGTTGTTCCCTGAGCAGGAACTCAGCAACATCATCAAAGGCTTCAAAATGGGCTTGTGATGCAGCAAAGGCTGATGAGACTGGGTTACGAGCATTTCGTACATTTTGAGTTGCTCAATTTTTGTCTCATCGGTGAACTCTTGCCACAGGCTCCAAAGGACAAGCTTCTCCATGATGTTTTCTGAGATCACAAGCTCCAGAATAGGCTCCATCAAGGCATGTTTTGCTTGCTCCTCAATTATAAGAAAAGCATCTGCACAGTGCTGGCCTCATCAGGTGAGATTGCCCCATACTTTGCCTGAGTATTTTTCAAAGGAAGGTGCTTCTCGATGATTTTCAGAACCTAAAGAGAAACAAAGATATATCAGCTGTAATGCACTTGAATGCATCATAAAAAGTATGCACCTACCACTACTGGGAAAAATATTTATCAAAATTATTTAACTCAAGAAGTATTAAGTTTTTCTATGTTTTCAAATTTAGGAGGTTTGACAGGCAAAACCTGAAATTTTACATTTGGCATGTACAAGGCAAAAATATACTGCTGTTGGTCACCTTTTTTAATAAGCACCTAAATTTGTCATTTACCCTATTCCTGAAAATCAGGGGTTGTCTCAAATAGGGATAAACTAGGTTTCCTTAGCGTTCCGAAATAGTTTCCATGATATTTGAAACAAGATTGTCACAGAGGACTGAAATCAAATGTCCTATTCCCCAGCCAGAGTAACTGTGCTCAGGAATATCAATATCATGGGCTGATTTGCAGTAATAAGAGTAGTAGCAGCCCACAGTGCTATTCTTTGCTTGACACCTTATATATGATACCAAATGGTCACTGATGCCCACTTACTCTTGCAAGTTTCAATATAGTAAAAATAGTCATACCAGCATTTCTAACCCTGAATTATATTCTGTTGTGCATGCAAACAATAAAGCTTATTTTTTGGAGAGAAAAAAAAAAGTCTTTAGCCTTTTTGTGGAGGATAATTGCCACAAAACCATAAAGGAACATTGTCTCCCTTAACATGACACATCACTAGTTAGGTGAGAAAAGGTAACTCTTGAATGACAGCTCCTCTGACTCTAGAAATATCTCAGAAACACGACTATTTGTCTGTCTGGTTTCTTGGGAGAGCCAAAGAACAACAAGAACAGCAGCACAGAAATCAATTTTATCTAAATGGTTAGATTATTCATATTACTACAGCAAACAAGACCTTATATTATGGTGCTCACAGCAAAACATCTTTGCTTAAAAGCAATTACAATCCTGATGACATGCAAACAATTTTTAGAATACACTGAAGTGTATAATCTACATCTATCCATAATAAATAAGAATGCTTACAGCTTTGCATTTTGCATACAGCTTTTTAACACTGTGCATCTGATTTACTTTATAAAAGGCAAGACTTACCCAGCACAAGGAAAAGAAGGGCAGAAGTCTGCAACAGGGTGCAAGTCACAATGAATCAATAGGAAAGCCAGTAAGAAGATCTAGGCCTTCAATAAGATATTACCATGTCCTACCACTTCCCACTTAAATACAAATCCAGAGTTCCAAGTGTGATTAGTAAAGGTTAACCATACCTTGAAAGGTCAATTACCTTTGAATTTTAAAAATAGTTCAGTGTCATCTACTGCATTCTGCAGGAAAGACATTTCTTCCTGCACAATTCAGGATTGTATCAAAAGAAAGAATGAAGCAAATTTGTATTAATGCAGCTTATTTCAATCAATAAAACCAATTAACATTACCTGTGCCCAGTGTGTTCTAAACACTATCATGCATGTTTCTGGGTCAACACCCTGCAGGCTGGGAGCCTGCCTATTTCTGCTGATACTTGTTCCAGAAGACATTATAAAATTTCCACATATCAAGCCAACTAGGTCATACTGAATTTCTTTTTTAAATCCTCCAGTGAGCCACAGATGTTCAAGTATCATGATGAGATTGATACTGAGTCCTGAGCTTTGGTACCCACAGAAATCTGTTAAAAAGAAAACAAAACCAAAAAGAAACACACATATAACAGTGCACATCAAATTATAGTGTCTAAAAGAAAATAACATACTTAAAGAGAACACAAACTTTTCTTCTTTTAATTCAGTTTGAGGATAGACTTTTTCAAAGCATGTTATATGGGATCATCTTAGACTTTTGCTCACGATAACAGCTTATAATGCTCAAACCTTTGAGATCAGTGACTGAAATAAGGTGCTACTGAAATAAACAAGCCAAACAGAAGCTTATGAAATAAACATTTTATGCATATCACTGCATTTTTTGTTTCTCATTATGATGCTTTTGCCATCTGACATTCATCTCTTCAGAGTTGCTTAGTAACTAATGTTGCATAGACTGAACAGGTTAAAAAAAAGTAGAGGTTATTTATCTTCTTCCAGTAACAGATATAATAGCAAATTCTTGGAAGTGTTCTGCCAGAAACCATACCATAAACAGCTGAAAACATCTATAGAGCACCATATTCACATAGAAGGGTGCATCTCTATCAATACCAAAGTAAACCAAACCAAACAACATAAAACCTTCATGTATCCAAAGCCGAATAAATTGTCATATTAAAGGACTATGAGAATAGGATCAAACATTGAAACATTCCTTTCATCCATTATTTAATATCCTAGATATCTGAGCATCAAAGTAGTTGCACACTTGCAATGGAAAGTTAAAACGAAACAAAGATTGATATCTTGCAGATATTTGAGAGGCTCAACAGAATATATTATTCCCTCATGCACCAATATCTAAGTAATACAGCTCCCTCCACTCCTTTTTCTTTTGATAAAGTTTACATTTATATCCTTCTTTTTGCAAACCAACTAGACATTTAATTTATTTCAGTTTGGGACCATAGTGAAAAAACACCCAACCGAAAGTGCCCAACAACAAACAATTTATTGAGGCATAAGCAGCCAATCCCATACAGCAATTCTTTGCCAGTATAGAAGGCATTTCTCTGAGCATATCTTAAAATATGAGAATCTTTTATCTGTAGTGGACATCTCTTCTCCCTGTAGGCGAGTTCTGTTTATATTCTTGAAACTGATAGCACAGGAAAACATCTAGCCTGTTTCAAAGTAGCAGTGACTTTTGCCATTTTAAAAGACCCCAAAAATATGCCGGTATAACTGTTAAGATTTCTGAGGCATTTCCTACACATTTGCTAAGCACTCTCATGCAATACAAGTAACACAATCTAGCCCATCTTTTAGGCAGATAAACATATTCCATGTGTGGAAAAACCAGCATAACCAGCATAAACCCTGCACACTATCTGTTTGGGTGACACCACTTCCAGAATGAAGCTGGCACTCCATACAAATTACTCTCCAGATTATAAACCACCTGGAACCAGATGTAGTGGAAAGGATTGTGCACAACCAGTAAGAACTAACTCATGTGCTCATTTACTTGAAGACACCTTGCCAGTACACTGCTACTTCTTAAACAGTCCTGTGAAAATGAACTGTATATACTATTTCTACATTACTGATGTTCCTGCAGAGGAAAAAACCAAAACAAAATAAAACAAAGCAAAACAAAAAACCACAACCCTCACACAAAAATAATCAGAGATCAGAGTAGCAAGTGGATTTGACAACCAGGATCTGGGTGCTTTTATCTTTACTTACTTAAGTAGATACCACTACACCTTAAATGCATAGCTTCTAGCAATGTGTTTGCAACTCTGAGCACTCAACACTTCTACCAAGAAACACTGGAAAAACACGATGCATGCTTACACACCATTTAGAAAAAGTCTGCTCTAAGTACTTGGCCTAATACCATGGCTAATAATCCAAGGAATATTTAGCTGACATATACTTCAGATCACCTGCCCACTTCCTGCTTGTTCCTCTTTGCCAGCACTCCCCTGCAAACAGAAATCTCTTCATGCTGGTAGAAGTTCAGCAGACTCCTCCAGGCAAAAGTGTCCTTCACTTTATAACCCTAATTCATCCTTTTAGCAGATCTCTCCTGTGCATGAAGCAAGCAGCTTTGGAAAAACTAGTATGATCATGTAATTAAGGATAGTATCAGAAGGTGCACTAAGAGAACTTAATTAACAAAGCAGAGGCAAGCTCCATTCCGGAATTTATGAGTTCTTTCACTTGACAACTTAGAGATTGTTTCAATGTGGCCATTGCATGTTGTTTAACAATTTAACTGAAAGAAACTGATATTATGCATGGACCTATCACATGACAAATTCCGTTAGTAGCACAAAATCGGAAACTTCAGAGCAGTCTCCAGTACTTAAAATCTTAAGATAAGGGAGACTAAAATCAGTGATATAAGACAGTCCGGATGCGTGCAAAGCTCACTACCACACTACCACACACAGGCAACCCAAATCTATCTAACCCATTACCTTCTCTTCTACTCTTACCTGTTTTAATTCTCTGTCCTCCCTAGCCTTTGCTATTTTCTGTCTTCTTCATCTTTTTTCTTCATGCATCTTTCCTATTCCAGCCTCAGATGCTACTCCACAAACACCAACACAGGATTCTTTCCCTCACCGCCAGAGAGACTCTACCCTATCTTTTAGCTCTCTATACATACTGCTTTGGGATAGTTCCATATTGGTGCTTCCGATTCCTGAAATACCGCCTGCTTCTCTGCAGCTATGAAAAGAATCCGAGTGAACAGAAATGGTACATATCTTGATACCCATTCAAAATCCACCAAGATGCCAAGAGGTCCAGTGACAGAGCCACTGTTATGCGTGGCCAGTAGGAAAGCTCACTTTCCACAACAGCGCTATTTAGTTACCAATGTTTGTGTAAGAATTTATGACCATCACTATGGCACTGGACATTCAAGTCCTGCCCTGCTAACAGCTCACTGCTCAGTTTAATACTTTGACTCAGCCATATAGTAACAGAACTTTCTTAGCAGGTAAATCTTTCCTATCTTATCTATCAGTTGTCTGTTATCACAAGGTCAAGCCCACTCACATACGCTCTTAGAGCTATTTCAGAAAGCTTTAGTACAACTTGGCCTAGTTCCAGTTGAAGAAAAGCAGCAGTCCACAAGACTCAGTCATTGGGCTCATGGGAGGATATCTGCATTCCGTTTTCCTTCAGAAGCCTGGAAGCCATCAGCTCTTTTCACACAGCTGATTACGGGCTTAAAACCTCAATCAAAAGAAGTAATTTTTTTTCTGCAAAGTACACTAGGAAGAATAGCCTAGCAGAGAATCTCTTGTGAAGTCTTCTCACAATGGAGTGCCTCTTCTCAAAAATTTCACTTTTGCATTAAAAAACCCAAACAAACCAGCAGAAAAGTTTGCAGGATTGGGGTTTCCCAGGCAATGCATAACAAAAGATACGCAGCCTAATACAGTAACACAGTAACGAAGGCATAAAATATGCAACAAGGCTGTGCAGTTTATCAAGGTTGTCTTCTGTTGAGACTTTAAGATGCCATGGTCAACGATTCAAACACAAGCGAATCTCTGTTATCAGATACTGCACACTTTTGCTCTCTACAGGCTAAAGCTTTTCACCCTGTCAGTCCAGGTACACAAGAGGCAACAGAGAATCCTCGATGGAAGTGAAAGGAACAGCCCATATGAAAACTTTTTCATGGATCAGTATAGCATAAAGGGGCTTGAAATTAGACCACTTCAAAAAAGCAGAGGGAAATTATATGGTCTTGCTCATAGCTATGCAATCATATCTCTGCAGTCTGATAAGTCAATGAGGGAAGGTAGGAGAAAAATGAGTGGCAAATTTTAGTTTGCCTCAACTCAGTTTCAACTTTAAAGGGTCCTTGTTCAGGATTTGTTTACTTTTGATTGAAAAGAAAGCCTTCTGCACGAATTAGTCAGATTTTCTTTTTAGAGACTATGGTCAGGGAGAGTTTATATCTTATTAACAATAGTGTTTCAAAGGAAGACATCAATCCTTCCAAAGAAAAGGATTCATAGTGCTTATGGCAAAGTTTTGCTGCAAAAGCGAAACCTATGAAGAACAGCCACATCCCCACCCTTAATGATCCTATACAATCACCACAAGAGTGCAGAAGGATCACATGTTGTTCACTGGAGAGCAATAGGTCTGTCATAGGCAACTGCAAAACTGTCAATGGTTAAAAGTCAATGCATCAAGGAATCCTTATTTCCATTAAGTCCTACTCACCTTCAGAAGCTTTACTAGCAAGAAAGTAAAACATGAAAGAAACTATACACAGTATGTTTTATAATGAGACAAAAATATCTTCCTGTCCCATGTAAAGTCAGTCTGCTTCAGTTAAAAAAACACAGTTCATCTTTTATCAAATGTCTGGGGAGCTACACTATAAACATATTTATTGTAAATTCACATTAGCTCAACTGGGCTACCACTAGGCTCTTCAAGTGATCTGTATAATCTTTTGGATTATACATTAGGAGGTCCAGGTTCCAGCATTAAATAACTCCATATTTCTCCAGACACATGAACAGGCAATTCTCCCACAGCAAGCAAGCAAGCAGCAGTGACACCCCAAGGCCCAGCTGACAGCCCCAACCCAGCAGTGCTACACTGGCATTAACAGGCTTGCTTCAAGGGCACGCAATAAGATCAACTCCTGCTGGTAGCCTATGCACTGTGACACAGGCTAAGCCACATCCCAGACCCTCAGAGACTCCTGCTGCATGGGTCAGCCAAAATGAAAGAACAGAGATGCCAGTTAGGTAGTATGGTCCAAAATACATTGATTGGTTAGGCTAAAATTACACACAGTTTACCCAGGAAGGTAAACAGATAACCAGCAAAGATGGTTCATCAAAAGTCACATTACCAAAGTAGAGAAATGGCACTGACTGCTCAAGAAAACAGGAATTAAGCAACATGGAATACTTGACAGAGACTTTGACCTACCAAGGAAAGGCCCAATTTACCTGTTCCA